AAAATCCCTGCAGTCACGAAAGCTTTCAATCAAAACATGCTCTGATAATATATGGCAGTTTTTTAAATTGATTGCCCCACACCAGAGACATCCTTCTGTATGGCCGAGTCTCACCACCAGTGTCAGACCACAGAACGCCAAAAGATGCACAGTACAAAGTCAATGCCACGTATCGGAGCGTTTACATCTCGGGGTGAGCAGTTGTATCATGGGATACCTTCAATGCCAGTATCGTAGTTAAACAAATGCGGCTTTAGTTGTGGGGAAAACCTACGCTTGCTCGTGTGTCGTATTGCCCGACGATTGAATGTCGACGATGGCACGTGGACGCGTTGCACGTGCGGCGTTGTTTCGCAGTGAGATGAGGTTGCGGATTCAGAGAGGTTGTCGCAGCGATTAGTGCTTATCTCATCTGCGGGCCAAATAAATTGGGCGTCCTCAGCAACCCGGTCTCAAAGACCCCAAGGCGGTTTATCTGACAAAACCCTGCTTGGCGTTGCTATTATTACCAACTGCACAATGGTGATCATTATTATACGTTCACCTTCATGCGATATGACAGTGCAGCGGTTCTTAACTGTTACTGCAGCCTCACAAAACAAATGTATAATGCGAATTCAAAACATAGGGTTTGATGAAGCAAAGTAGTTTTACTTACGTGCCCGTGCTTAATTTGTCTTTTCGATTAATTACTGAAAAAAACAAAACATCTGGCCATGTCTCGCACCCCCAGAAAGGGCACCTCGCACCCCCCCCCCCCCCCCCAGGGGATGCGTGCACCACAGGTTAAGGAACCACTGACATTGGTGCATCCATACGGTATCGATGACACAAAAAAAACCCCCACCACAATCACTGTGGAGAACACATCATCGTTTATTGGCTGCCACTGCCCGTGCACGACGACTGTATCATCACGTGGCTGTTTGACCCCAGACGGTTACTCAGCCCAGCGCGTTGGCACCCCCTGCTCCGGAGTACATTCAGCCGGGGTTCAGTTTTGAGTATATGGCGTGGATAGACATCTCTATACTTTCCGCACGTGTACATACAAGATGTGCGTGCACTTGCATAAGCCCATATACTGGGTTGCATACATAAATAACGCCGTAATATCAGTCATCCAGACTGTATTCCGCTCACTTGTGCACATGCGTCCCATCTGAGTGTCTGTTCTGTCATTTACAATGTTCCCCCCCCCCCTCCACAAACTCCACTCTGTTCTATTGCAGGGCTGTTTTCAGTTTGAGAAAAGGAAAGGCAGCCTGAGTGGTAAAAAGCAGACCGCTCTTTCATGCTGTCACGTATGATCACGACCATCGTTCGTATTCGCCACGCAGAGATACACACAGATCACCTGTATACCTTAACAGACTGTCGAGGCAAGTGCTGTACGCGAGCACCTATGAAGGCCGGAACGGCACACGAGGGGGTTGGGTGGCCAGAACCACGCCCGACCGCCTTTGTCTCTCCAGTGGCGATGCTTACTACACACCGCACCAGGTATTCATTTGAGGCTGAGTCGACCTAGGGGAGGGCCCATGAACCGGGTCAGATAATCGTCACCGGTGTTGGCCGTGAGCGGGAATCGAACTCGGGTCACGGGGTTTGTAGCGCAGCGCGCTAACCGCTACACTAGCGCTCCCCACACACACTCAGACACACACACGTTCACAGAAACGTGGACACACGGGCACAAAAACACATCACGTACAGTTGTACACACAAATACGGACAGATGTAGAGAGACAGACGCGAATATTCACAGAGATGCGCAAAAAACACAGACACGCCGAGACATTGACACACAGGTCCACAACAATACAATACGTTTGCTCACAGACACGCACACACATCAACGCACTCCCACCAAACCAAAGACATATATGCACGAAGACATAAACACACAGATAAGACAAAGATCCCCCGTATAGCCTTGACAGACTGTTGGGGCAAGTGCTGTTAGCGAGCACCTATGAAGGCCGGCACGTCACACAAGAGGGTGGGTGACCTGCACCACGCCCGGCCGCCTTTGTCTCCCTAGTAGCGATGTTCACACACGTACAAATACGCACAAGCACACACGCAAAGGCGTTCTGGTGAAAACATTTTGCCAAAATCTGCTGGTATCATATTCCTTACCAGATAGTTTATCGTCACCTGCAACTTCATTCAACAAGATCATGGACATGAAAGGACTCTGTAACGCTTTCCAACACGCATTTGTCCTCAGAAGTATTTCAATGGACATCATCACCATCATAACAACCAACGGTGGCACACCCACGCCACGTGCGCACGAAGTGATACGGGGGCCCCTCCGTAGGCCACACAGACCCCCAGGGCCCACGACACAGCGGCTTCTGTTGGGGAGGGTGTAAGGGAAAACCTTTGATCAATGTGTACGGTCTCAGACTGGCTAAGTCCTTAATAGCAAGGCGACTTTATACTGCAGTTGCGTCGTCTATATATCGGCTGTTTACGAGAGTCATCATGCGCCCCCTCCCCCCCACTACAGATACAGACGGACTGAGCTCACGTATTCACGCTTTCGAGCGTACACCGCCCCGTCTCTAGGTTAACGCATTCATGCAACGGCCATTTGTGTATACATTAACATCCAGCATAGGGTTATTGCCTTAGTTTCCCCATATAAAGTGGTCCAGTTTTTATTTTCTTTCGGGAATACAATTGTTCCGCAGGCTTCCCTTGGGACACTCCCATTGCATAACAGCGCATCCAGAATCCCTACTACGGACTCCCTCCGTGGATAAAGGGCATTTAAACAAGCAGACACCATGGTCTCTATTGGGGGGGTCAAAACCTTCCTCCAGTGTAGTGTGGAAAACCCCGGCTCAACAAAGTCCAAGAACGACCAGGGTGACGTTGAGCGCCGCCCAGGTCACCCAGGTTGTTGCAATTCACGCGTTGACATGCATACATACATACGTACATGCGTGTGCGTGAATGCGTGCCTTACCCGTGTACCTTACACCCACGCAATGAACGTATTGATCAGTGTTCGTTCGGCACAAAGGCGCGCAGAAAAAACTGAGCTTGTATCGTTTTCCGGGGAGATATCTCAAACAGTCAAATATTTGTCCACTGGCTCATGTCCTGATCACTTTCGCGCACGTGAATATAATAATAAAACAGTTCCCTACCTATCTAGACTTGGCAAGTAAATGTGAAACGAGCACCTATCAAGAGCCGACGAGTCATGCGATGGGAGTCGAGCAGCCAGATCCACTACCATGGCAGGCATTCCATTTAACGCCGGGTCAACCCGGGAAAGGCCCAGGGACCGGTTCGGCTAACGCCAGGGACACGCGATATCCCCAACCGGCCCTGGGTCTCCAAGGCAGTAAAACGCAGCTTCCCCTGGTTCATAGAGGAATGCGCTAACCACTGCGCCACCGCTCCACACACAAAGATCCCCTCTCCTATGGTCGTACAGATTGTTGAGGGCGAGTGCTGTTGGCGGGCAAGGACCATGCCAGGCTGCCTTTGTCTCCCCCCCCCCCCCGGTGCTGATGCTTACACACCGCGCCAGTTACTCAATTAAGGCCGAGTAGACCTACACACGGGACATACACACACGCAGGCGAGTGCAACTGCTGTCCGTATTCAATGGCTCCGATGCTCGAGTCAAGTTAATCCGGCCGGGCTCGTGTCTCCGCCAACAAGGCTCGGGCTGAGACGCTGCCAAGTCACACGCGGCAACGCAGCGCAAACATCTGCCCAGGCAGAGGTGTGCTGCCGCCAAAGCTACATTTTGAGAACTTGCGCACTGCCCCCCACCCCCCTAGCCACTGAACTAGCTGCCTCCCTTTAAAAAGTGGTCTTGGACAAAGCATCGTCCGGTCACCCCACGAAAAATCCACAGCAATAACTACAAATAATAACCACGGACTTACCGTGGTTCAGCAGCCAGGCGATGAGACCACACTGGGTCACATCGACTCGGGCACTATGCAAACCCAATGTAACCCGTCCAGAGCCAGCACGATTATTCGAGTAAATCAATTAATGAACATAAAAAATGATAATCGACAATTTTTTACGTCAATTACTCGGGCCAATAAAAAATGCGGGGGGGGGGGCGGGGTGGCGCCCCCTATAAGCCACACCCCAATTACATCATAACCCACGCCCATTACCTCCCATCCAGCGGCACACGTAAAAAAAAAACAGACGTAACGATATTTCCGGCCCCCAACAAATGTCATGTTATGCGACGAGTCGAGTAACCAAACCGATAACCCGTAGAGCGAACGGCTATCGCGGCTCCAACCCAACCTCGTGCCTTGGGCAAGCGCGGCATTGACCGCCCTACAGCTGCCCAAGCATCGCCGCCGGTGGCAACTCGCAGGGGGGTGGGTGGGGGGCATGGCCTCGCTGTGGCAAAATGCGGAGGGCGCGGAGGCACGAGCTGCAGCGGCAGCGTCTTGCAAGTGGTCTCGCGTTAAAGCCACCCCGAACCTTCCACCACCCCTGCTTTAAAACGATCTGGCCTCACCCTCGACCCACGATGCATGGGCAAAGGTTTGGTTGGCGGGGGGCTACCCTAGTCGTGGGTGGGGCTTAATAATAGTGGGCGGGGCTTAATAATAGTGGGTGGGGCTTAAAACGGTGGGCGGTGCCAACGACAGGTAGAGCAAGGAGGCTGCTCACCGAGTGGATGGGACCAGTGATTTAACGGGGGCATGGCGATGTGAAAGCGGCCGGGGCGAACGGGAGGACGACAGGCTTCCCAGGTTCACCGTGCGTCCCGATTGAACCTCCCAGAAATGTGCGTGGCTTCCCACGAGGGCCGAGTTGTTCCTCAACCCTCGTACGAGGGAAATTAAGAAGGGCAGCAGCAGCCTTTAAAAAGTAAAATAAAACACAAGTTCGTTATTTTTCAGTGTCTCCAAAAGTTTCATTGGGCAATAGAAATCCACAGAAGCCGCCGCACGTTTAGTTACTAAAAGTATACCCCCCCCCCCCCCAACAACCCCCCCTGCCCCCCCCCCGTTGCTGCCGAGCTTAAGTGAGTTTAAATATGGGGGGATTTTCGCTTGAACGTTCTTACAAAAAAATAATACGTTTTGGTGGAAATACTTTATATGGCTTCCGCGGATTTCTTTCACGACGGCTTTTCATTATTAGGCGGCTGAAACTGTTGTTTGCTGCCTATGTACATCACCTCGTCACAGTCTGAGCCTTGTGCAAAAACAACGTTTATTCCCCCTTGTTCTCTTTACATAACATATCGTTGCATGCAAAGTTTGGCTATATATAGTGCAAAAAAGAAACCCCAAAGTAATAAATACATCTGCTTTAAATATGTATAAAATGTGTTTATCCAGGAAAGCATTATTGAGATCCAAGACTCATGAGGCTCCTGCTTTTCACATGGTTGGCCAACTTCTCCTTCGATCAATTTCTTTCGTGGGAGAAAACCAGAGACCAGAGAAACCCCACAGAATATGCAAGGAGATAATGCACAAACTTTGCTATTCGGCTGAACCAAAAACCCTGCCTCTCGAAGACAGTGATCCACCAATCCTACCGGGAAGTCGCTGGATCACATGTGCGCGCCATTGGACTCGGCTAAAACGTCGTCATGTCCATGATGCACCGGGGCAATTTTGGAGCACAATCATTGATGGAAATTGTCAGACAACCTGCGGTGGTCAAGTGACCTCTGTTTGTGGTCTCATTGGAAGTTGCCCATGCTCAATTGTCCACTGGGGGCAGCAGCCATCTAACCAGTCCAGATTACGGCAACTGCATCGTTGGCATGATTTACAACGAAAGATAGCGCGCCAATTTATAATCGGTGACGATTGCACGAAAATTGCCCTCGCGCGTCATGGCCTTGAGGGAGGGATGCGATGAGCCATCGATTCACGGATTCCTCGACGAACAGAGATTCTCTCACGCTCACGACACATGCGTCGAGTCGCGACGCGCGACGATCGCGTCCAATTCACGTGCGCCCTGCGAATAGTTCGTGGCAACTGTGTATACGCGACAGATTCCACACATGCACCACATTCGTAAACAAAAACACAATCGCTTGTCGAATCGTGATCCTGGAATCGTGATGAGCCATCCCTAATCGCGGAGGCGTTGAGTCGTTGCAGACTGATTCTGGTTGCTACCTCTGAGGCACAAACAGCCGGAGCATATCATGGCAAGAAGACACATCTCACACTGCAGGAAGACGGCAAAACCACATGTAAATGTGGTCTCTTGAGTGGTGCATGATCATTATTATGGAACTGACAAAAACCTGGACTTTTAATGTCACGGGAGGACAGCTGCCTCAGAAGAGGAGGTCCTGAGTGGACAGGTGGCAACCCTAATCCCTAATCCTGACCCGCCAGCGGCCCAGCGAAGGCCCAATTTCGCTACTGCCGATCGCCGGCGCCGTCCACGACGGCGTTATCTTCCTGCAGGAGCCAGACGCCGGAGACGCGCGGCTGGATGGCGGCCTCGAGCGGAGCGTCGGTATCCGTGGCCCCATAGGATGGCCCCGTGGGGCCCGGCGTCTCCCCGAGCTCCTCCTCGTCCTCCTCCTCCGCTCTGTCGCCGTTGATCACCTCCAACAACATGGCCGCCTGGTAGGTCTGCGCCAGGGCATGCCGCGCAAAGAAACGTCTGCGACGTTAGCTTGAATTTGCCTTGCGTCTAAATGCAACAAGGCATATGCCACCGCAGTGTGTGGCGGTCTGCACACTGGGTTCGCCGGTTCAATCTCCCAGCACGGCAATTAAAACAATGGGCAAGTTTCTTAAAATGCATTCGGTAGCGTAAATGGGTACACCACAATTGATATGTGCATGGTGGGGTTAAGTATGGGGATTCCCATCTCTTCTTACAAGGTATCCGGCCGTCGTGAAAGAGGAAGCCAGAATACGCTCGACAGGATCTCTCAAGCGTTCCCTGAAGTGAAGGCCTTTCTGCCAGCAGTGGCGTGAGTAAGAAATTGCAGCAATGCACCTTTATCTTGTACCTTACTTTATCTAGGCAGCCTCTCCTGACCTAGATTCCCTCCCGGGTTCACTGGGGCTAGGCATCCCAGGTGAGAGGAGAGGGCATGGGGGTCAGGCCTTCCAGCCTACACTGTTAACGATGAAGGCGTCAGCCGTGATTGAGTTCAATGGATAAGTAGCAACATACAACCATGTTGCAAACCAGAAACAACGCTGGTTGTAGTGTTTAACGATGGATATATTGCAACATTTGAAGAATACAACAAATGTGCAAAAAAGTTTAGATGCTTCTTTTCCACTTTCAAGATGGATATTGTGGCCTTCTCACAGTGGGGAGATGTGAACTGTCTCACCTGGTATACAGGAGGTCGTGGGTTCGATCCCGACCCTGATCGCCTGCTGTATAATAAGAGTTGGCGTGTCTCTCTCTCTGTGGTCGCATGGATTTTCCTCCGGGGCTTCCGGTTTTTCCCTCCACATTAAGAAACATGTGTTTAGAGTATTTGGCTATTATAAATTCCCACGTGATAAGCCAATTCATTGGTGTATCATTTGTGGCCAGGTCAATTCTGATAAAAGAGTTATATAGCTCAGTGAGCCTTACCCGGTGAAAAAAAAAGTTTAGTTTAAACAAAAACCCGGGAGCCTCCGGCACCACTGACAAGAATGGGGCAGGGCGAGCGTGGAGGGAGAGCGTAAAGAGAGTGGAGAGGAAGTGGAAGGGGGGTAGAAGGGGAACGGAAGGGAGAGCGGAAGGGGATTGGTTTGGGGAGGTGGGTGGGAGGGAGAGTGTTTGGGGAGTGAAAGCGTTGGGCGCGTACCGGTGAGGAGGGCGCGTAGGCAACGCCGTCGTTCGAGATCGAGTCCTCGGCAGGCTGTCGGGAGGCGCTCTGCGAAAACCCACAGAAATCAAAACGTGAGGTGAATTTCTGATGCATGTGCCAGTGTTGGTGTAGGTGCCAGTGTTGGTGTAGGTGCCAGTGTTGGTGATGGTGCCAGTGTTGGTGTAGGTGCCAGTGTTGGTGTAGGTGCCAGTGTTGGTGTAGGTGCCAGTGTTGGTGATGGTGCCAGTGTTGGTGTAGGTGCCAGTGTTGGTGATGGTGCCAGTGTTGGTGATGGTGCCAGTGTTGGTGATGGTGCCAGTGTTGGTGTAGGTGCCAGTGTTGGTGTAGGTGCCAGTGTTGGTGATGGTGCCAGTGTTGGTGTAGGTGCCAGTGTTGGTGTAGGTGCCAGTGTTGGTGTAGGTGCCAGTGTTGGTGTAGGTGCCAGTGTTGGTGTAGGTGCCAGTGTTGGTGTAGGTGCCAGTGTTGGTGTAGGTGCCAGTGTTGGTGTAGGTGCCAGTGTTGGTGATGGTGCCAGTGTTGGTGTAGGTGCCAGTGTTGGTGATGGTGCCAGTGTTGGTGATGGTGCCAGTGTTGGTGATGGTGCCAGTGTTGGTGTAGGTGCCAGTGTTGGTGTAGGTGCCAGTGTTGGTGATGGTGCCAGTGTTGGTGTAGGTGCCAGTGTTGGTGTAGGTGCCAGTGTTCGTGTAGGTGCCAGTGTTGGTGTAGGTGCCAGTGTTGGTGTAGGTGCCAGTGTTGATGCAGGTGCCAGTGTTGGTGTAGGTGCCAGTGTTGGTGCAGGTGTCAGTGTTGATGCAGGTGCCAGTGTTGGTGTAGGTGCCAGTGTTTGTGTAGGTGCCAGTGTTGGTGATGGTGTCAGTGTTGATGCAGGTGCCAGTGTTGGTGTAGGTGCCAGTGTTGGTGTAGGTGCCAGTGTTTGTGTAGGTGCCAGTGTTGGTGTAGGTACCAGTGTTGGTGTAGGTGCCAGTGTTGGTGTAGGTACAAGTGTTGGTGTAGGTGCCAGTGTTGGTGATGGTGCCAGTGTTGATGCAGGTGCCAGTGTTGGTGCAGGTACAGGTGCCAGTGTTGGTGTAGGTGCCAGTGTTGGTGTAGGTGCCAGTGTTGGTGCAGGTACAGGTGCCAGTGTTGGTGTAGGTGCCAGTGTTGGTTTAGGTGCCAGTGTTGGTGCAGGTACAGGTGCCAGTGCAGGTACAGGTGCCAGTGTTGGTGTAGGTGCCAGTGTTGGTGTAGGTGCCAGTGTTGGTGCAGGTACAGGTGCCAGTGTTGGTGCAGGTGCCAGTGTTGGTGCAGGTACAGGTGCTAGTGTTGGTGCAGGTGCCAGTGTTGGTGCCGGTGCCAGTGCTGATGCTCACCTGGTTGATGTGGATGCTGCAGTACTTGAAGTAGCCGAAGAAGGATCGTCCAATGCAGATGGTGACCGTCAGGAGCAGCACGACGAACGTGAAGATGGTGATGTGGCTTCTGGGCCCTGCCGTGTTGACGACGCGCACAAGAGGAGACAAAGACAATGGTACACCCCCCCCCCATGTAGCCTACACAGACTGTTGGGGCAAGTGTTATGAGAGAACCGGTGAAGGCCAGCACGGCGCATGAGGGGCGTGGTGTGGCCAGTGCCACACCTGGCCGACCTTGCCTCCCCAGTGCCGATGTTTACACAACACATCAGGTACTCATTTACGGCTGAGTCCACCTATGAGACCTCATGATCGGTTCAGATATTCACTGATGTTAGCCATGGCCCGGAATCAAACTTAGTTACGAGATGGATTTGAGAACCACGACATTCCTGCTCCACACACACACACAATTGGACACAGCTCAACACGCAACACAATTATTGCATTATTTTGTTTTCGCATCGGTGGTGGCGGAGGAGGCGAGTGGCAGCATTGGTGAGTGGTGGCAGTGGTGAGTGGCCACGGTGGTGAGTGGCGGCGGAGGTGAGTGGCGGCGGAGGTGAGTGGCGGCGGAGGTGAGTGGCGGCGGTGGTGAGTGGTCACGGTTGTGAGTGGCGGCGGTGGTGAGTGGTGGCGGAGGTGAGTGGCGGCGGTGGTGAGTGGCAGCGGAGGTGAGTGGCCACGGTGGTGAGTGGCGGCGGAGGTGAGTGGCGTGCGGTGGTGAGTGGCGGCGGTGGTGAGTGGCGGCGGTGGTGAGTGGTGGCGGTGGTGAGTGGAGGCGGAGGTGAGTGGCGGCGGTGGTGAGTGGTGGCGGTGCTGAGCGGCGGCGGTGCTGAGCGGCGGCGGTGCTGAGCGGTGGCGGTGGTGAGCGGCGGCGGAGGTGAGTGGCGGCGGAGGTGAGTGGCCACGGTGGTGAGTGGTGGCGGAGGTGAGTGGCGGCGGAGGTGAGTGGCGGCGGTGGTGAGTGGCGGCGGAGGTGAGTGGCGGCGGAGGTGAGTGCTGGCGGAGGTGAGTGGCGGCGGTGGTGAGTGGTGGCGGTGGTGAGTGGCGGCGGTGCTGAGCGGCGGCGGTGGTGAGCGGCGGCGGTGGTGAGCGGCGGCGGGAGAGAGGCTGGGGTGCGGCACGCACCGAGACGCAGCACCGAGTAGAAGAGGAGCCAGCAGATGCAGAGGATGGGCGCCGCCACCACCTGGTTCACGGCGGCCGAGTGGATCTGCCGGTTGAGCTTGGCCGGCATGTAGGCGTAGTAGATGTTATAGCGATCCACCATGTGCTTGAGCAGGATGTAGATGAGGCCTGCAGAGCACGGAGCCCGTCAGTGGCTGCTGTCAGCGAGCGCTTACCGAGCACGCGGCGTGTGCGGATCTAAAATCGTCGCGCCTGTAAGAATCGACTCATCTCAAATCGTGCACGTCGGATGCAATTGGTTCAAGTAATCTTTCCAGTGACCGAAGCAATCAAAATTGTGATAAAACACTGGATCTTTACGCTCCTAATCGGGGGGGGGGGGGGAGGCGGGGGAGGAGGCATGCCGACAGTGGAGACCTGGAAGAAAGGAGGGGTTCAATTAATTGTCTTGAATGAGGTAAGAGATTTACAAGGCAGATAGGGAGTGGACGGAGAGAGTATTTTTTTTGGTGGGGGGGGTGGGGTTGTGTGGTGGGTGTCACTGACCGAAGAGGAGGATGATGGGACACGTGATGCTGTAGGTCATGACGACGGTGAGCACGGACATCATCCAGGCGTACGCCTGCCCGAACTGGAACTCGTACGCTTGCTCCTGCGCCGTCGGAAAGGGTGCGGTCAAGCGGGTGAGAGAGGCATGGCAGTCAGATTGCCATAATAATAACAACCACGTGTTTCCCATATTTATCGCCATATGGTTAGGGTGGTGGTGTTGGTGACATTTTTATTGTGCTTGTTTACCCAGGAAAGCCTCATGACTCTTTTTCGGGAGGGCCCTGTCAGTGTTTTTGCCGTAGGACGCGATGATTGCTACGTATAATTAGAAATGATTCGCGGGTACATTTTCAAATTTGGACCACGATGTCGGCACACGGTGACCTACTCTTGCGAGCGACGCCACGGGATTCTGAATACACCGCAGTGCTGACCTGAGCGGTCACTCGATTCGACAGTGCAACCACGAGGTTATGTCACCGCCATATATGGTGGCGGTGGTGGTGGTGTAAAGGTGGTTGTTGTTTTGTGGGTGACGTGTGACGGTTCTGACAGTTGGGCGAAGTGGTTATCGCAATTGCGTAGGCGACGTGTAGCAGGTGTGGCAGTTCTGTGGACGACCGTGGCGGTTGTGTGAGTGACGTACGGCAGCTATGGCATTGACGTATGGGCAATGCGATGCTGCTGTGGCAGTTGCAGCAGCTGCTCGGGCGACAGGCAGCTGTTGCGACCCCATGGGGCGTCACGGTGGCGAGATGTTAACTCCCTCGCCTGGTATGCAGGAAGTCTCGTGGGTTCAATCCAGACCCGTACACCTGTAGATTTGGGGTTTGCATGTCTCCCTCCTCGTGGGTTGCATGGATTTTTCTCCGGGTCCTCCGGTTTTTCCCTCCACGTTTAGAATCAACATCACGCGAGTATTTGGCCGCTAAAGTTGCCCACGTGGTAATGCCACTTTGTTAAGCCGTCATTTGGTCGGGGCGCTTGTGAGAAGGAGCTACGTAGCTCAGTGGGCGGTCGTGTCGCGGGTAATTGTGGGTCAGCACCTGCTTGACGTTCTTGCGCTCGGCCTTCGATCGGGCCCAGCAGAGCCTCAGCGCGTACAGGAGGAGCCCCGGCACCCGCAGCAGCTCCATGGCCGTGCCAATGAACGCCGACGTGATGACGTAATTCACGAAGAAGGCGCCGTTGTCCGGCAGGAAGACGCACCTGGAGCGGGCGGCAGTGCGGGGGTCGTGGAGGGAACGGCAGCCATCGCCCCGAGTGGCAGGCGACGGGACGAAAGACGTGGACAGGCAGGGAGAGACAGACAGGGAGACAGAGAGACAGACATCACAAGCGGGTGAGATGAGAGAACACGACCATGGGCAGCACCACGATTTTGGACAAATCTTTGGGTAACCACTAATAACGCACTTACTAAGAGCAACCCGTTTAGTGCATTCGCCAGTGGCACCTTGGTGCGGCAATGGCAGAGTAGCGGAGCTCTGTCTAGCCAAATGGCAACAGAGTTTATTCTTAACGTGGGCTTCATTAACAATGTTAGTGGTTGACAAAGCACACGACCTCGGTAGACGCGTGGCTCAGGTCTGTGATTTGATTGGAAGTTGCTACCCCAGTCTCCCACTAGGGGGCGCAGCGGTCACATTCGCCCACCGGGAACACAAATCAGGTGAAGAGGGGGAATATGACGGACTTGAGAGCCGGCGACGAAAGTTGGACAATGTGTTTCCCTACAGAGTGGAAACCGAGCGGAGGCCAGAGGAAGCAGCGGAGAGACAGCGGAAGAGACGGCAAGCGGTGCGACGACGTCGCATAAGTTCAGAGGCCACTGCTGGACGAGAGCCGTTGGGGAGAGAATGGAATGGGCGAAAATGGTGGATGCCTTTTGCCCAGCAGTGGGAAGTTACAGGCCGACAACAACACAAGCAACAACAACAACGTCAAACGATGCGGCAGATATTGCTGGTTGGCGATTGCCAAGTGCCCCAGTGCAACGCTTCTGCTAGACTGGAGGCGCTGATGAGTGGTTTTCTTTATGCAAGTGTGTAACGTACGTTGAACTTCTTTGGCACCGTACATAGCCAACCCTGCTAATCGGAGGTGCGGGGGAAGGACAACAAACTTTGTGTCTCTGTGTCTGTATACAGGGTACTACGTTTTGAATGGAAAAAAAGAACGGATAATACACTGTAACATGATAACAAATGTAATGTTAATAGCTGCAAAAAGTCAAAGAGTCTCCCACTTGTTCGCCAGCGTTGTCAACGCATGGCCTGGAATCGTCTCCAGGTGGTCTCCAGAGCCCAGAGGCAGCACATTTCTTGTGGCATCGTTGCAAATTCTCCGAAGTGTTCACATTTTTTTGAAGCACTCTGTATTGAACTTCTTTCGCGCCGTACGTAGCCAACCGTGCTAATCGGAGGTGTGGGGGAAGGACGGCGTGCACCTTGCCGGCGAGGATTCAGATTAAACGCTCGTGTACTCACTCGAAACGGACCGAGCCCTGTTCCAGGAAATCCTTGTCGAACAGCCAGCGAAAGAACACGTTGAGGCTGTGATTACACACGTCAGAGTGGGCACATACACACCACAAAGACATAAGTACGCACGTAAGTAAAACAAACAGCCTCCATTCGCACACTCAGTGGCGGTAACCGTCACCACTGAACTTGCGTGTGATCTTGTTCAGCTGCTTTTGTCTCCCCACTGCCGATGTTTACAAACTGAATCAGGTACTGTGCTCAATTATCGCTGAGTATATCAAGGGGAGGCCCAGGACAAGTTCAGATACCTCTCGCCACTCAACGTTAGCCGTGATCGGGTATTGAACTCGTGTTTCCTGGGTTTAAAACGCAGTGCAATTACCACTAACCCCCACCACGACACCACACTTGCATGCCTGCCCTGCACGCACACCATAACATCTTAGACTAACTGTGTGCGGGTGACGCACGTACACTTTTTAAGAAAACAATGATTATTATTCTGCTATGCATTAAAAACGAGTTGCACGCTTCATCACGTTCTTTGACAGGAGACCACAGGACCGGTTTGTTGTTGGCCCCGGCTCACATCGGCATTGCCCCCTCCCCGCTGCTCTTGCGCGGCTCAGAAGCAGCGGTCGGTAGCTATCGAGTGTGCGAAGGTGGCACAACTGCACCGGGGGGGGTGGGGCCACAGACTGGGTGGGGCCTGAGGCTCTCGGCTACCGTGACTAGCGGGGCGGGGGGGGGAATTGAACAGGAGGGGAGGGGGCAATTTTAATCCCTCTCTCCAGGGCCCACGCCAAACACTCTGTGCGACTGTCGAGAAGCGCATCGGGGAGAAAAAAAAAGGCCCCATAATTTGACAAAGTGAAACGAACGAAAGTTCCCTTGCTCTGTGGGGACAAATTGCGGCGGCGAGTGCGGTCGGGGGTGGCGTCAGAGTTCGTTCCATTAAGTCGCATGGGTCGTGTTGGGCTCAACTTGCTGTGTGGCTAAAAATTGCCCGATGAATGGACCATGGCTGATAAACAGCCCTGTTTGGTTATGGCTCCAGAAACGTTGTAATGTGTGTACAGCAAGTCGCACGCCAGAAAATCAGGGCTGTTGAAGTTACTGATTGACCACCGTTTTCACCATCGCTAGGCCTTGATGACAAAGGTCGTTTGTCCTCGCGCGATTACGAAGTTACGTTTCACTGCGAGATGACGCCTGGCGGTTACAAGGTGACGTCCCACGTGATGACGCCGTCGGAAGAGTAGGGGAGGGACGGCGCGCATGCCTCCACCGCCAAAGGTGCAGACTTCGACTCAAGCTTGCCAAACTTTCTATCACGTAAGTCTGCAAACGTTTCGTGCTTTTGGCCAAGAGCCTGGATGAGGCTCATCGTGGCCCCCCACCTCGCGCACGAAGCGAACGCACCAACACTGTCAACCTCAGTGCGGCCCACCGACCTGGTGAGCCCGAGCGAGGGCAGGATGAGAACCATGAAGATCAGGTAGAAGTAGCACTTGTGCATCGTGGTGCGATTCTCGGTCGAGCTGAAACGCGGACACAGAAAAACGTGCCCGAGGTGAGACGGAGCAGCCGCGCGAGGCTCGGGCGAGCCAAACCAAAAACAGCCCGAACGCGAAAGCCACGGGCCGGGCTCGCGAAGATTCAGTTCGTGTTTCAGCGGGAAATTATTTTGAAGATAATTTGAAGGAATAGTTTCGACTTGTAACTCGCCGCCTCACTGCGGTTCGCTTCTATATATTGAAGGTGTTATTAGCCAATTCACGAGCACAATTTTACAATCATACATTGTCTGACCGATCGCAGAGGCAAACCAATATTTCCCGAATGTCCACATGAAGGCTTGCTTAAGTTTGCGTACAGTTGGTTATGGCGCGTGAGCAAAATACTGCATACGTTAAGGAGGTGGAAGGGACACACATCAGCACGTCATATACGTGATAGATCGGTCCAGGTAGAGGTTTTCAGCATTATAGTTTTAAATATTATTTTCACCCCCGGTTAATTTTAACTATATTTTTTGGTAAATAACATGAATTGTACCTTTACAGTCGTTTTTTTATATATAGATATATAAAGTGCTGTGGCATGTCTAATTTTGTATGGCACGAATAAAATGTATTATTATACAGTACATGCAAATACAAAATTGCGAACAAAATAAAGTGACGCAGGTAAAACAGTTGAGCCTATGAAAGTTTCCTTCAATTGCTCCGCACACAACAGAGCCGCGATGGATCCCCAATCGCACAGATTTACCCACGTCGGTATTTCCATGAAACGCCACGATTTGTGGGCCAAGCTTCTGCTCCAGAACAATTCGTCATTGCGGAGACTACGGCGCCTTTACTGGCGGCTGCAGGCTTCACTCGAACCGATCCCGATACGCGCTCGTCGACAACGGACGAACGCGTGTGTGCATTGCGACTCGGTGAGCACGGCAATCGCTTTTAAATCGACGCTTAGTCACACGTCCAGGGAAAGAAAAGCGGACGTGGAGCGGAGGAAGTTTCGGGACATTAGGAGCAGCAGAGGGATGGGGGGCTTAGGGCAACGCACCGGGTCCAGTGCGACTCGAGGAAGACGGAGTAGTAGACGAGGAAGGGCAGCACGGCGGAGAAGGCCCAGAGCAGCAGCGTGGGCAGGAACTGGGTGACGATTGGGCTCTGTGGACCGCGCAACACCTCCGATTAGCACGTCGGGTGACGTACGGTATGAAAGAAGTTCAACATGCATCCGTATAGACACCGTATATGCCATTTATTTAAAATATATATTCTATGCGAGCACGGGAAGAGAGACATGCAAACTCCAAATATACAGGCGTCAGGGTCGGGATTGAACCCACGACCTCTTGCATACGAGGTGAGGGAGTTAACATCTCGCCACTGCGGCACCTCTTATGTAAACACATGCACATTATCAGCCGTCGCCATCTCTCATGATCTTGCGATGCAATGATCTGTTGTCAAATGCTCGCCCGCACACGGACCAATTTCATCGCTCCATCTCCGTTGTGGAAGTCCTCCGTAGGCTGCCACTGTTCGACGCGTATCCTTGACCGACCGTGACCGCAGCTTCTGGCCACATGTCGCGACCAGGAATCGTAACTAGCCACTGGATGGCGCAACGAATACAACAAAAATAAAAGTCGGTTCTTGAATCAATATGTGACCACGAATCGCGACAATTCGTTGGATCGCTAGGGCGCAGTGAATCGCTCCATGCCTACAATGCAGAGTATATGTCTACAATACAAGAAATCTTTGTCTTCGAGGTCAGAGCTGGCCACTGCCGAGCACCTGGGTTCTAATAGCAGACGGCCGCCAGCGAATAAAACCACGTGTTCTTTAAGTCTAGCGAGTCGATGGTCCCAGCCTGGTCACCAATGGCCGCTGCACAAAACAACCCCCATCACATTAAACCTGATTTTTAGATTCAATCGGCTAAATTCCAGCGCTGAGAATTATCAATTGTACTGGCGTGCGACGGACATTAACCTCTCTCTGTAGCAGGGCGCGTGGGAAGTATCCCATAACTCGATTGGGGTTTACAACAAAATAATCAACGCTCCCCTACCGCAAAAAAAAACGTGGCAGGACCCTCATGAAAAAAAGATTCGCGAGACTCAGATGAGGCTTCACACTGTGAGGCTCTCCTAGGTAAACAGTCGGAACAATCATAATAATAAAAAAACCTACTCTGTGTAGACCCAGATGTCGCTTGAAGGGATCTCAGAGATATCTCTGTTAAATCTTGACTTAAAGCTTTCGTGACTGCAAGGAATTCATATTCTTTGGGTCTTTCGGTAAAGTCACGTAGATAGGTTCAAAAAAAAAAACAAAATAACAAAAAAAACTACGACATTTCGATCGCAACACAAGCGGCCGTCCTGAACCTATCTACGCGACTTTACCGAAAGACCCAAAGACTACATCTCTGTTATATCCGCTTTTTACTGCATAGCCAGGGTAAGCTTTGGGGGGGACAAAAAATTCCGTGAATAAATCAAACGGAGGGAGGAGGAGGAGAGGCGCGCGTGGGGCTGGTGGGGGGCGGGAATGAACCGGGCCTCACGTTCAGGCTCTCGATGGGCTTGGTGACGTTGAACTTGTCCATGGTGTTGACGATGATGGCGGGCGTGGTGAGGAAGAAGAGCAGGAGGAAGAGCAGAGCGTTGAGCACGAACACGCGGCACCACCACATCAAGCCCTGCACCTGCAAGTTCTCCCTGCGGTCACCAGCAACACGAACGTCGCGAAGACGAGCTGTCAGGGCCCCGAGCGAGACGCTCTTACGATGCACAACGAACGCACATGAAGTGCGTACCGAATATATCACCGACAGACAGAAAGTGCATTTCTCCACTTAAATGTATTTTTTTACAATAATTCGTCCCGTCAGCCTATGGATCTTCCAGATCAAAGTTGTGCACTTCCAGAACAAGAGGCGGTGGGGTCCTGGAAGCAACGGTTTGTGGACCTGACGATCAAGGTCCATTGACGTGGTGATTAAAGATACCATGGATTGTCGACCCGAGGTATCAGGAGATGACGGTTTGTTGGCGTGGCAACTGTGCATGCACAATGAACTTCTTTCGCACCATATGCAGCCGACCATGCTAATCGGAGGAGGATCAGCACTGCTGGCAGACGACGGGCTCGTGATGGAGGAGGTTCCCGAGGTGACGGCGTGCGGAGCTCGTACATATATATAAAAAAAATCGACGAGGAGCCGCGGTGGGTGGGGCAGAGCACGTACCAAATGATGGAGTTGGGGTCCGGTGCGTAGCGCACCCTCCAGCTGCTGGCGCCGAGCTCCTCCGAGAGGCGCGACACGTGCGGCCTCCTCCAGCAACGCAGCAAGTTGTAGTCGGCCAGGATGCTGCAGCGCCGGGGGCAGGGATTAAATAAACACGCGGCTTCATTCCACGGAGCAACATCTGCGTGGCACACGGAGCCCGTGGCACCGTGCCAACCGATGCCGCTCTCGCACACAATTCTCTCCCGGTGGTGGGGGAGGGGGGGGGGTTGGGAGTTCCACGCGCCTCGGGGAAAATCACATGTGCACGCGGAACGGCGTGCGTTCAATCATTTAAATCGATGTTGAGCGTTATGATACTTGAGCCCCAAGAAATTGCATTTCATCATAACGAAAAGTAAATGAACACCACCATTGTTTTCAATGGTGGGAATTCGACTTCGTGTCCCGGTTGTGTGATCGGTGTGCCCAGCTAGACTTCACTGGGTCACAGTAAATTATCACGAACATCACTGTCATCATTCTCCTCTTAATCTGCTGCCTGGATGAACGCCTATCCCGACCGACAACATTTACCCATGATCCTTTGCAAATCCCTCTCACACACGCTCTTTCACGGTCTGTTGGGACACTTATCGAACAAATCCACCTCCACAAGCACGTTGTGTTTCTGTGCCAAGAGGCGGAATGACTTGTACACAATCGTACTGTTCCCGCTAGTGGCAAGCCTCCACTCGTTCATCTCACGCCACATGATGACCACTTAACCACGGTGCCCATCTCCCAACAGGAGAGCACAACAGTGCCAGTGGTGGTGTCGGTGTCACTGCGTTGGCGTTGCGGCGGTGTCGACGTACTGGTGGTGTCGGCGTTGTGTCGGTGTCGGCGTTGTTGTGGCATTGCGGTCATGTCAGTGTTGTTGCGGTGCAGTGGTGGCGTTGCGCCGGTGGCAGCATCGTGGCCGTGTCGGTGTCGTGGCGTTGTGCCGGCGTTGTGGCGGCGGTGGTGCGGCGTGGCACTCACTCGGACGTCATGCGGTCGTCCTGGAACGTGACGAAGGCCATGCCGAGCGGCTGTGAGCGCACCTTGCTGCGCTCCTTCTCACACTCGGCGCTCAGCGAGTTCTTCAGCCCCCTGTAGTGCTCCACCGCGTTCACCTCCTGCGTGCACACGGACGGCGCGTAACAACATAATTCACGAGCTGTGAATGATGATTGTGTTATTATGAACCAGTACGAGCCTGTACAAGGGACCAGGTGACTTTTTGCTGAACTGCATTGCTTAATATAAACCCATTAACTAAATATTTTTTACTTTACCAGGTAAGGCCCACTGAGCTGTATAGCTCTTTTTCAGAAGCGACCTGACCACAAATGATAGCTCAACGAAGTGGCTTATAATGTGGAAATTTACAGAGGCCAAATACTCTCAATGCCGGTTTCTAAATGCGGGGCGGGGGGGGAGAAACCGAAGGACCCGGAAAAAAATCCACGCGTCCGCAAGGGGAGAGAGACCCGCAAACTTAAAATATTCAGGTGTCAGGGTCGAACCCACGACCTCCTGTATACCAGGCGAGGCAGTTGACATCTCTCCACCGCTGCGCACCCTCCTCCCACCGCCCACCTGGTGGTTCCCGCAGCATTTGCAGCAGCACAGGTGCCCACACGGCCGCGGGTCGATGGTCTCTCCCTCGGGCCGCACGTCATAGTACTTCAGAGCCTTCGCCACCTTCTTCCTGCGCCGCGGGCAGACGAGACGGGGGTCAGAGCACTGTTAGCGAGCGCCTAGTAAGCCCCGCACGGGCACGGTGAGGCGAGCGACACTGCCGCTGCCTCCGGTTGTCACCTGTGATGGTTCTGCAAGGATTGCCCTCGCTTTGAGGCACCTGTCCAGGGAAAGTCTCCAAGTCGTCCTGGGATATTAAAGAGTCCTGGTTCTTTTGTCGGTTGTTTAATAAAATAACGCCCATGTCTACGTCCGCCTTTTTTCCCCGGGATTCGGAGATAGCCTTCTTCTCGTGTCCCGGTTTCTGTACTGAACGCCGGCAACGTCGTTGACCGCAGAGCCTCCGAAGCGGGAACACTTTTTTTATGCCGAGTTAACCTAGAGGAGGAGGCGGCTATCGGAGATTGTCATGCGGCGAGGGAAGCGGCACGGAGTTGAAGCGCGTGGAGCGAGAACGTCAGAGCGGCCACTCGCGTGCGATCACGGGGACCTTCTCTTGGCTTCGAAGGCGACCCGAGGCAGCTTGGGCCTCAAGCAGAGCCACGAATGACACTTGGCAACTCGCACGACTCGAATGCGAAACTGTGCCGCCTCGATCGTGGGGAGCATCGCGACGCATCTCCCCAGACGCGCACTCACAAGCGGTCCGCGGACGCACGCCCACCGTGCCAAACACTTGTTAGTGTAGTTGGCCAAACATTCCAATGCAGGCCACTGTAAGTCTCGAGGCTCGGAAAATTTTAATTATTATTCTTCATTATCGCCCGCTGTCACTGTTTATCCACTGCTGGATGAAGGCCTTTTCATGCCGACGCATTCTTAGGATCGCAGGCGGATCTTTTGGGGGCCGGTCCCGAAACAAGAGCAACCATTTAATTAATTGCCTCTGGTAAAACATCAATAAAAACAACAACTTTTATTTGGAGTCTCAAGGTTTTGGGGGTGATGGTGGTGGGGGGCGATTACCCCCCCCACTCCCCCCCACTCCCCCCCACTCCCCCCACCCCTCCTCCCGATGCGCAACTGCTGCTCTGGATAGCATGGCAGAGTGAGGCTAGAGCAGGTGGTGGTGGTGGTGGTGGTCTCGGTGCCGAGCGGGTCCACCAGGGAGGCTCTCACCGCTCGCGGTCGAGACGCACCAGCTTGGAGAGGTTGTAGCAGAACTGCACCTGGCTCGCCTTGCACGAGGGGTACGCCTCCCTGTGCACGCACGGTCACACATGGGCACGGTCACACATGGGCATGGTCACACACGCACGGTTGCACACGCACGCACGATTACACACGCACGCACGGTTACGCACGCACGCACGGTTACACACGCACGCACGGTTACACACGCACGCACGGTCACACGCACACACGCACGGTTGCACACGCACGCACGGTTACACACGCACGCACGGTTACACACGCACGCACGGTTACGCACGCACGCGCGCACACACATTAATATACAGAGACGCACGCACGTGCACACAATCACACAGGTACGCACACACGCATTAATACACAGACACACATTAATACACAGACACGTCCACACACATGAATACACAGACACACACGGGACACACACACGCATGTCAAAGGCCGGCACGGCACACCAGGGGGCGAGTGGGAAACACCACGCCAGGCCGCCTTTGTCTCCCCAGTGGCGATGTTTACTACACACCGCACCAGGTACTCATTTGAGTCTGAGTCGACCTAGGGGAGGCCCAGGACCGTTTCAGATAATCGTCACTGGTGTTTGCCGTGAGCGGGAATCGAACCCGGGTCGCCAGGTTCGTAGCGCAGCGCGCTAACCGCTACAATACCGCACACACTCAAAAATAAACAGACATGCAGACACACATGAATACACAGACACACAAACACAAAGATCCCCCGCATAGCCTTTAGGAGCAAGTGCTGTTAGCGAGCACCCATTAAATTCGGCGTGGTATTGCCAGCACCGCGCCTGGCCACCGTTTTCTTTTCGGTGATAATGTTTTGCTGTTTACACACCACACTAGGAGTCAACTCATGTGCCATGGCATGTTCAGAAACCAATTTCCACTCTTTAGCTATCCACGGTACGAGAATCGAACCCAGTTATCCCCCCCCCCCCGCACCTCCGATCAGTACGGTTGTCTACATACGGTGCGAAAGAAGTTCAACGCACCATATGCAGCCGACCGCTTGGATCGTAGCTCAGTGTGCTGACCACCTAAAAAAAACCTCGTGGCACCACCTGGCCACCACTCACTGGAAGTGCTCGATGATCTTGCTCTCGTCCGTGACGTCCTTGTGGATGTTGAGGATGAAGATGGTCCTCGTGACCTGCGGCGGGAGGAGGAAGCGCAGGGACCAGCTGAGATCAACGGAATCGGTGGGTAACAGCCCTCATGTGACGCTGTTGTTGTTGTTGTTGATGTTATTATTATGGTTACAGAATCCAGAAAATAAGAGATGGCTCTCACTTTCATACTCTTCTCACGATCCTCCTGTACTCGGAGCACTAAAAGTAATCCGCTTTTAAGATCCTCTCGGGTTTACATAATATTCTGCCGAACTAATTGTATTCATAGGAGCACAAAGTGAAGAGTTAGAGCAATTTTTAATTGACCGTGTTACTCTTCTGTATTCGTTGCTCCCACCTCTCTGGTGTCGCTATCTATCATACGTCTTCTGAACTGCTTCTGCGGTCTCAATTCACTTCGACGTGCATTTGTTACCAAAAAATAAATCCCGTGTAGCCAGTTACCCAGCTAGCTTCTGTGAGGACTCCGGTCAGGGGGAGCCCCCCCTACTCGCCATCCCCCCCCCCCCCCATCTCCCTCCCCCCATCTCCCCCCCCCCCACGTACCAGCTCCTCCTCGGCGTACTGCAGCGAGGCCGTGTGCCTGCGCATGAGCCCCACAGTCATCAGCAGGTACACGATGGCGAAAGTGATGTGCAGCCACAACAGCCGGTCCCTGCACGCGCACAACAAAGACAAAGATCCCCTGTATAGCCCTAACAGACTGTAGGGGCAAGTGCTGTTAACGAGCACACACGTACACACGCACGTGCGCGTGGTGCGCGTGGTGCGTGTGTGCGTGTGTGCGTGTGTACGTGTGTGCGCGTGTGCACGTGTGCGCGTGTGTGCGTGTGTGCGCGTGTGCGCGTGTGCGTGTGTACGTGTGTGTGTGTGTGCGTGTGTGCGTGTGTACGTGTGTGTGTGTGTACGTGTGTACGTGTGTGCGCGTGTGCGCGTGTGTGCGTGTGTGCGCGTGTGTACGTGTGTACGTGTGTGTGTGTGTACGTGTGTGCGTGTGTGCGTGTGTACGTGTGTGTGCGTGTGTGCGTGTGTACGTGTGTACGTGTGTGCGTGTGTACGTGTGTGCGTGTGTGCGTGTGTACGTGTGTGTGCGTGTGTGCGTGTGTACGTGTGTACGTGTGTGCGTGTGTACGTGTGTGCGCGCGCACGCGTGGTGCGGCCATTTACCATCAGTGGGGGGATCAGGGATACGCAGGGCTCCCCAAAGTTTGTGCCACATTATTAGGAAGCCACTGGGAGCTGCACACTCTTTGTGTGTTTTGCCACAAGTACGTGTGGCGAATACAGACTTGACGCCTTAGAGAAAGGTGGTTGGTGTGTGAACATCTTAACCTCCTATTTTATTGGCAGAAAGGGTAAAAACCGATTCATATGACCGCATGGAAAATGTATCGTTGTACTTATTGGACGCTAAAAAATGTTTTTTTCAATTCAATTCATGATAATGTATTGTTGTTGTTGTTTTGTTTGATTGAGGCATGGTACACTCTTTGTTGGGTACATAAATGACCGGTTCAGATGTCACTCGCCACTGATGTTAGCCGCGGCCAGCAGTCGAACTCAGGTCGCCAGGTTCTTGGCGAAGTGCGCTAACCACCACGGCTCTGCTCCCGCCTGCAGTGTCTTTTTGTACCGATGGTATTACAATATAACCACCACCGATGGTATTACAATCTAACCACCACCGATGGTATTACAATCTAACCACCACCGATGGTATTACAATATAACCACCACCGATGGTATTACAATCTAACCACCACCGATGGTATTACAATCTAACCACCACCGATGGTATTACAATCTAGCCACCACCGATGCTATTACAATCTAACCACCACGGCTCCGCTCCCACCTGCAGTGTCTTATTGTACCAATGGTATTACAATCTAACCACCACCGATGGTATTACAATCTAACCACCACCGATGCTATTACAATCTAACCACCACGGCTCCGCTCCCACCTGCAGTGTCTTATTGTACCAATGGTATTACAATCTAACCACCACCGATGGTATTACAATCTAACCACCACCGATGGTATTACAATCTAACCACCACCGATGGTTTTACAATCTAACCACCACCGATGGTATTACAATCTAACCACCACCGATGGTATTACAATCTAACCACCACCGATGGTATTACAATCTAACCACCACCGATGGTTTTACAATCTAACCACCACCGATGGTATTACAATCGGCGTCTCGTAAAAGAGCCTCCCGGTGACAAGTGCCAAGAAGACCGCTCGCAGAGGCTCGAGTTTACGGGTTTTAAACTTTAAGTTATTTTCCGATGCATTCCACTTGCCGAGGCACAACTAATCCGGGCCTAACGCATTCCGTGTGTGCGTGGCAGAGAGGGGGGGGTGGGGGGGTGGGGGGCACGTCCCTGGCACGGAGAACAAAGCGGGCAGTGTTTGCGCTTCCTCATCTCCCACTTGCTTATAACACTCACCCATCCGAACAGCTAACCATCTATCCACCCAACCACCCATCCAACCAGCCATCCATCGGCCCATTCATCCACTTACCCGGCCAAACATCCACCTCACCTCCTCACCCATCCATCCACCCAGCCACCCAACCATCCACCCAGGCCCTCACCCACCCACTCACCCAGCCAGCCACCCTCAATTAAGCACCCTCGTACGTACCCAGCCTCCAGATTAGCAATGGTTGTTCTGCCAAAGTTTGTCGGGGAAGTCCCTGTGAAATGTGATAAACAAAGAGGGCGCGTTAATTGGGACGTGACGACGAAATTCGTGATACCCATGACAACGGTGGCAATCACGACGACGGCGATGACGATAACGATGACATTGATAATGATGACATTGGCCAATAAAATAATTCAACAATGCAGGCTTTGAATTTTGTGAACGTATACCGATAGGCAACCGCTATCGCCGCACCTTCACTTTAAACAACAATAACAATAATTACGTGACACCGTGAGGACAGATATGGGTGAGAACGCACAGGCAAACAGGAACAACAACAACAACAACAACCCCAGCAGTGACTGTGACCGTGACCTCGCAGACTGAAACCATTGTTCATGACTTTAAAACAACGGGCACAGCAGCGGCAAGCTGGAGAGAGAGAGAGAGAGATTCCCGGGTTGGCTCAGTGGGTCAGGGACCGTTGAGACCCTGAGTTTCCGCGGCGTAGCTCGGCGTCACAAGTCGTCACACGTTGTCACACGTCACACGTCGTCACACGTCGTCACACGTCGTCACATGTTGTCACATGTTGTCACACGTCGTCACACGTCGTCACACGTCACATGTTGTCACACGTCGTCACACGTCGTCACACGTCGTCACAAGTCGTCACAAGTCGTCACACGTCGTCACAAGTCGTCACGCGTTGTCACACGTCGTCACACGTCACACGTCGTCACACGTTGTCACATGTTGTCGCACGTCGTCCCGCGTTGTCACACGTCGTCACACGTCACATGTCGTCACATGTCAGCACACGTCGTCACAGGTCACACGTCGTCACACGTCATCGTCACACGTCGTCGTCTCGCGTCGCGCGTCGTCGCACGTACCCAGCAGGTTCCCGGAGAAGTTGACGGGCAGGATGATGGCGAGGGAGAAGATGCTCGCGACGACGAGCAGCGCGATGATGTGCCGCTGGAACGACAGGTAGTGCACCGCGTCCGCGCCGCACTTGTACTTCACCTCGTCATCCCTGGGTGAGCAGGAACGAGGGCACGGAGGGAGTGACGAGATGGAAGGGACGGGCAGAGACAAAGCGGGCATCGGGGTCTCGATGAGCGGTTTGCCCAGTCACTTAGTTGTTCGAACGAGTGGCGTTTACTCAAAATAATTGTTTTGTTTAAATGCATGCAATGAATAAAGATGTACACATCTTTCCAAAAACGTAAACTGCTCCCAAGTGGGGCATAAACGTGCACGCGCTTCATATTTGTCCTGATGAATGCATTTAGCAGGGTGCAAAACCAGCCTCGCGAGTGAAGGAAGGCCTTTATCCAGCAGTGGATTGACAAAGAGCTGTAAATTACATGCCCTCGGTCATCTCATGCCTGCTCCCGGCCTCTTGGTGTGGTATGATGCCGACGATGTGCAAGGGGGGTGGTCAGTGGAAACACGGGGGGGGGGGGTGAGTGGGGGGGAAGGGAGGGGGGACCCCCCCTGCAACCTCTCTCATTAATTCACCGCCGCCATCTCTCCCAGCCACCGCTCCTCCACTCATCGTGGCGACTCAGCCGTGGGTAATGTCTTCCCTAGCACCCTCCGACTCTTCGGGAGAGCGAGCGAATGCCGTGCCCCCCGTTGAAATTATTATTAACAACCACGGCTCGGCAATGTCCTCCCAGAGCCCGGCGCTCATTGACAAGCACTCAGGACCTGACATCCTTCAACCACACCCCAGCACAAAGACTACGATCCCCCGTATAGCTTTGACTGTTGGGGCAAGTGCTGTTAGCGACCACCTATGAAGGCCGGCACGGCGCACGAGGGGGTGGGTGGCCAACACCGCGCCTGGCCACCTTTGTCTCCCCAGTGGGGATGTTTACACACCGCACCGGGTAATTATTTGAGGTTGAGGCGACCTAGGGGAGGCCCAAGAACTGGTTCAAATAATCGTCACCGGCGATGGCCATGAGCGGGAATGGAACTCGGGTCGCCGGTGTCGTAGTGCAGAACGCTACCGCAACCCGGCATCACCGACACACCGAGTTCCCAGCCCTGTCTGTCGCGATTCGCAGGGCGGTGCAGAGGTGGGGGGGGGGGGGGGGAACTCACTTGATACGGAAAATGGCCGTGAGCCAGGAGCACAGACCCTGCAGTGGGGGGAGATACGAAACGACGCGTTAGGCTCGAGAGACACGGAGACGCGAAGCGAATTTGAACGCCACGTGGAGTCACGACGGGGGGAGGGGTGATTTCTACACAGAGACGGACGGACGACGACGACGATGATGATGATGAGAATGGCAATGATGAGAATGATGATGGGGACAATAATGATTCGGATGATGATAAAATTAATCATGAGGATAATGATGCTGATAATGATGACGATAAGGGGGGGCGACGATGTATAACGGTCGCAATGATTTTGGTCACGAAAGTGAAGTCAATGACATTTAAGAGGTCAAAGATATTAATCGCCACTGATGTTAGCCCTGGTTGAGGAATAGAATTCGGCTCACCGGGTTTATGACAGTGTTATGCGCTGATCACTGGGCCAAAGTCTGAGTCTTGAATTGAACGAAAAAACCTTGAATCACGAAAGGGAATTGCATTGCAATGAGGGTAAATAATTACCCCGATAATTCAGTACGGAAAAAACATAAAAACAAAAATGTATTTTTTTCCATACTGCTGCACAGATATGTGGGAGTTGTGCTGCTGCCTGCCTGGCTGCCTGGTGCGATGCCAGGTCGCACTGCGTGCTGTTCGGCACCAAGTCCGACGTTCCGCTGCACGTGCTGGGAGCGACTTCAGGAACTGGATTTTTCCTTAAGAAGCCCCCCACCCAACATCGCGAAGCGAAATACACGGACATCGTGGGGTGAACGCGCGGCGAGACCTCGTGCAACCCTACTGGACGCCTGCGAAAAAGAGCTTCACGGCTCATCGGATTCCCCCAGTCCAAACAAATATTCTTGATTATGACCCCGACGACGCGTCGGAGAGCTCCCGTTTTCCATTTGCAGACGGCTCCGATTGCTTATTGTTTCATGGTTTAAGTCGGGGCCAGGGCACGCGAGTGTCGTCGCTGCGCGGCACCTTGTCCTTGCTCTCGTAGTCCGTGATGCTGTACTGGGAGTCCAGGCGTTCCCGAGCACCCCTCTCCTCGTAGAGACCCCCGTGGAAACTGCACGCACGGGCACGGACGCACACACAGACACGTGAACACACGAGGACGACGACACCGGCCACCTCCGCAACCCTCCCCCCCCACCTACTACCGCTGGCACGGCGCACCATGGGGGGGGGAGGGGGGGGGTGTGGCCAGAACCGCGCCCGGCCGCCTTTGTCTCCCCAGTACTGACATTTACACACCGTGCCAGATACTCATTTAAGGCGAAGTCGAGCTGTGGTGAGGCCCATGACTGGTTCTGAAATGACTCACCGCTAATGCTTGCCATGGGCGTTAATCGAACTTGCAGGGCTGTGCACTCGCCATACACTCGCCATACACTCACTCACGCAGACGCACAGGCACGTGTGCGTGTTTTACGAGCGCGGCCGTCAGCTCGCACGACACGCACGCACGGGCGAGATGAGCAGCTCGTGCGCGTGTCGCCGGGCAAAAACGTCATTGAAAAAATGAAAGTCAAAATAAAAATGGAAAACATACTCGTAGTTCTTCCAGCGGCCGTGCACCAAGGGTCTAAATGAAAGACAAAATGAATATAAAACAAAATAAGTGGGCGGTGATTTCATCATTAAGAGAAACAAAAAACAAACGTCCGACGATCCACACATCCCACAAAAGCTCAACGTGAGGATACAAAATAAACGTAAAAAATATATATAATTAGGCAGTCTCTTGCGAAGCAGCAGGCCTCACATGGTCACGGGCCACGTGAAAGTAAGACGTGGGCTGTATCTGGCTGATCAGCCGTAGTGCGGTGTTTGTACACCCATGCAGACTCGAGTTCGGTAAATCAGACGCTCGACGCCGCGTGACGTGCAGGCTATTTGTTTCGTGTCTACGCCGGAGCGCCGGCCCCCCCCCCCCCCCCCCCCCACCGATCGTTGTCGTTGAGGAGCGCCAGGCGCCCGTAGTCCCACGCCTTCTTGCGTAGCACGGAGAACAAGAGCAGGAGGAGCTGCAGCATGGGGAGGGAGAGAGCGAAGGGAAGATGGAACCGTTAGACAGGGCTATGCGATACGCCTCGTCTTCAGCAAGCAGACAGGAGATTCTACGAGCGGAGGTTTTTTGCACGCAAAATCTCCGCACAGATGGGCATAGGAATCCGCTTGCCGTACGCTGCCATCTCCTGGCCGCCTTGCAGCGCAGTAGATTTGTACGTTTCACAAATCTCTGCGTGTCAGGGCTGGTGACGCTTGTTGTATATACGCATCAGCAGCACGATGCACCTGCTGGGCGAGTGGAGTCGATTTATTGTCGCGGTTTTTTTTTTAATTCGTGAAAGCGGCAGGGCTCACGGGGCGCTCCCGTCGGCGTGATCGATAGACTCGTGGGAGCTCGTGTTGGTGGAGGAGGGGGGGTGGCGGGGTGGGGGGGGGGGGGCAGGCACGGTGCTAATTTCCAAACGTTAATAAGGCCGTCACTTTGCTTTGCCTGCCAATAGTTTCGCGCGTCCGCGCATTTTTTTACAGCAGCCTTTTAGCGAGATTAGGCGAGCGTTGCCGAGATTAGGCGAGCGTTGCCGACGGTAATTGCACCGACTCGGTGAAATCTCTCCGCTCGTGCCCCTCCGCTATCTTCAACGCTTTCCCCCAAGCCGCCCCCCCCCCTCCGCCCCAACAAGCCGACTGCCCCCCAGCGCTAAACCAGCAGCGTCGTTTTTGTCATGCCGGCAGACCACCCCGCGTTTCCGCAGGACCTCACCAAACTTCCAATTAATTGCGGAATTTTGTTGTAGCTTTATTGTGTATTGTTGCATCATTTCATCACTCAGGGCCTCCTGCTAATCACGGAGCAAAGCGATGAGACTTAAACCGTCTACACATTGTAAGCACGGTTGGCAAAGTGGTCGGCACGCTGCGCGAAGAACATCAGTGGATCAAATAGCGACTCAATGCCCGCTTCATATATACGAAGGAGGGGGCCAATCGTCACAGTGACGCACCACTCTTGATGCAATCATCGAGCTCAAACACCTCAATGTATTGAGGAACTCTCATTGTTGAGTTCAACCCCCAATGAAGTTGAGAGAGCTGAATGGAGCTCAAAAGAACGCACAAACAAATGCCTTGTGAAAGACCCAAAGCACCCAGGTTTTGATCTTCCACGAAGCTCATGGTCCACCCTAAACCGCATCCGCACAACAATGGGAGATGCGGATATCGGATGCAAACATTTTAAATTAACTCTCCAGCGTGCGACTGTGGTCATCCAGAACAGGCCATCCACCATATATTAACGCAATCCCCGATCTAGAAATACGAAGGAGACAACACAGCGATACTCTACTCCGCTACTCCTGATGCGGTTATCTGGGTTTGACCACCGTCATGTGAGATTGTCGTTGTGGCTCTGCGTCTACATCAGCCGTACAAAGATGAAGTGGCGAGTGATGTCCGAGCGGTAACTGAGCTTCCCCCTTCACCAACCCGCGTGGACCAGCGTGGTGAGGTTTAAACAACCCCCATGACTGACACCGTGCAGGAAGAATGCCTTAACCCAGCAGCACAGTGGCAATGGGCTGTGAACTTTGAATAATACAGAGTAAAAGAGTGTACGAGTGCACATCCTAGCATGCGCATTTATGACCATGGCAACCACAGAGCTGTAAGTGTAGTCTTTAATGCCAGCAAATTTAAACGGACTTGGCCCGGGTGCGATGCGTTACGTAACAGTCAATGAACTTTAATTGGCCACCGGTGAGAGATCACCAAGACTGAAGGACTCATTTGTTCCTCTGTTCCAGCGATTCGGCGGTAAGGGTTGGTGGATCACGCTCACGTGTGTGAAACGATACTGCCGGGCAGGGAGTGGGGGTGGGTGGCAGTTTAAGAAATGCTCCCAATATTTTAACCGCCGTTGGAAGGAGATCGAATCGAACCGGCGACTTGCGAAGCGCAGTGCGCTGGCCCCTCATGCCCCACATCAGAGTGTCTACGCGGCTCGCGTGCGCGTGCATTGGGGGGCGGCGAGCACCATCCACAGCAGGAAGTTGATGCCCAGGACGGCGACGACTCCGCCGAACGGGGTCCCCTGCAGCACCGAGCTGCGCCCCAGCGTGCCGAAGCACTCCTGAGACTTGTTGGGGTGGGACGGTGCCGGCACGAACGGCACGACAGGAGACTCCTGTGCCGGGTCCCCTCCCGCCTCGAGGACTTGCAGGGCCCGGACCCAGGGCCCCGACGACGACGTCGCCGCCGCCGCCGCCGCCGCCGCGCTGAGCCAGGTCGTGCCGTTCGTCAGAACCGCGGCGGTGATGCGCATCGCGGCGGTCGCTACGCCATCCGTGAGGGCGGCCACGCTCGCTGTGCCTGGATGGAATGGGGGGGGGGGGGGGGGGGTTGCGGGGAGGCGGGGGGAGGGCGGGGATAGCGGAAGGGGTAATGGGTAATCGTCGTTATCGTTGTCATCACCATCATCATCGCCATCATCGTCGGTAGCATATCCGCCGCGAGATGAAGGCCTCCCCCATGCCGTCACGTGCTTCCGGTAACACAGCAGCGTTCAATGGGAGCAGCTTTCATCTGCAGAGTCGAACCTGTGCGTCGAGGGTAGCGATGGAATCAAAATAGGCGGCTATTTTCGGAGCACGTAACGTTACGTCGATTCGCCCACTGATGCGCATTCTCACGCCAAGGATACGTGCATTGTTGTTGGCCGTTTGCGTGAATTGTGTGTGAATGATACCATCATGTTACAGTTCGGCTAACAGCGTGAAGAATACCATACACACGATATGGAATCTAGATATATAAAAGGGAAATTTGTGAATGTGTCTGTTCGAAATGTTTAGTATACATCCCGACATGCAAAAAATTTTAAATTTGGCATGTGGGTAGCTTCCAGACTAAACACAATGAAAAAAGTATAAAAGTAGACTTTTGTATTTTTGGGGGGGGGGGGCGCAATAATGGATATATTTTGCACGGCAAGTGAGCGGTGACTGTCACATATGTGATGTCACCCGCATGCGGCAGCGTCACGCAGTGTGCCTGCTGAAATCACCCCCCCCCCCCACCCTCCGCGTCGGCCGTGTATTAATCCAAGACAAGAATCCAAGTCTCGGGCGAAGCCGGGTAGTAAAGCTAGCTATATGAAGACTAATCCAAAGATCCCCCCCTATAGCTTGAACAGACTGTTGGGGCAAGTGCTGTTACCAAGCACCTATGAAGGCCGGCATGGCACACGAGGGGGTGGGTGGCCAACACGATGCCCGGCCGCCTTTGTCTCCACAGTGGTGATGTTTTTACACACCACACCAGGTACTCATTTGAGGCTAATTCGACCTGGTGGTGGCCCAAAACTGGTTCAGGCAATCGTCACTGGTGTTGGCCGCGAGCGGGAATCGAAATGGATTCACCGGGTTTGTAGCGCAAGTGTGATAACCGCTACACCACCGCTCCCCATATATGCATACATACAAACACTCATTCATGGAACTGGCCAATCATCCCATGGCAGGTTCATCCTGGAAAAGACTCTTCACCATCGACGACGCTTTCCCTGGTAAATAAGGGACATTAGTATTGTTATTGTTGTGCACTGGTTAGCGCACTACGCTAGGTCGCCAGCGACTTGAGTCCAATTCCTGACCACGGTTGTCACGAGCGGTCAGTTACATCAGAACCGGTTCTGGTCCTCGCACAACCTGCACCAACTCGCTGTGATCAGCGCGATTAACTATGATCAAACAGCTCGACACAACTGACGTAAAAATTATATTTCTTTAGAACTGCTTTTTGTGTTTAGTTTGTTGTCCTTCCCCCGCACCTCCGATTAGCGCGGTTGGCTACGTATGGGACGAAAGTAGTTCAACGTACAGGCAGAGGCCTTTATTCAGCAATGTACTGGCAAAGAACTGTGAACTCTTTGCATTGCAGACTGAAATGGAGTACCATTGCGCATATACCAGCACGCACGTCTAAAAACACGGCAAACGCAAATCTTCAAGTTCAGTCTTCAGCGACAGCAATTTAACCAAACACGGTGTGGGGAAGCCATCATCCAGCAGTGGATGACGGCTTCCCCACACCGTGTTAGATGGCTTCGGACGATGATGACAACGACGCCGATCACTGCCGCGATTCGACTCTGCGAGGAGCTTCGCGCTGCAACCGCGGCGCCAACACCGAGCGCTAACCCCCGGTGTGCCACGCGCTCGGAGTGCGTCGCCGGGATCTTTGTCGCAGCGCGACCACTCTCTGGAAACGGCGCGCGCGCGCGAACGCCCGCTGGCAGGGAGAATCGCCAACCTTGCAGGTAGACTGTGTCCCCCGGGATAGAACGCCGATGCCCGCGGCTCAATCAGCCGAATTAAAAGTGCGCTCGCGCGTCTCGTCGTCGTCCCCTCGCCCCCACCCCGGTGAATCACCCGAGCGGCGCTGCCATGGGACGCGGTGGCACACGAGGGACGTCTCATCCATCCCGGGGGGGGCATGGGCAACGAGCCTATGCGGGGGATGGGGGGGGGCACGGGCGGCGCGGCGTGGCACGGACCCAGCGAGGGGCTTTTAGCCAGAGAGGAAACGGGCACCCAGCTGATGCAAGCGTTCACGAAAAGTACTACCGCAGACGTTTCAGTGGTTGTGCCCAATTCAGTTCCTGAAGACGGTCACTGCACCGCGCGCCTTCAGGTGCGCTTCTGCAGCCCGTCTGGAACGCCCTTTCCTTCCGATATTAGGAAGCCACTGAGGCTATGCACTTTTAAATAAAGTTTTTGAAAACTAATTTCTTAAGAACTGCTTTTTTGTGTTCAGTTTGTTCACCTTCCCCCGCACCTCCAGACTTGCACGGTTGGCTAAATACGGTGCGAAAGAAGTTTAACATACATACAAAGAAGCCAAGCCGCTAGCACATGAAGCGAAACGTCGGACTTAATGCCAAACGTCCCGCGGTGCAACCTGAAAGCTCCACGGAGAGCTACGCGTTAAGGGTGTTGGGCGGAGGTGGCCTGGGGGTGGTTCAGGGGTCAGAGCCACAAAGCCAGCAACTGCCGAGACCCTGGCTTCGAATCCAGACTTGAGCCATCCGTGACCAAACTGGGTTTTCAAGTGTAGCAGCGAGCGACGGCTGAACAGGTCCCGGGGCTTCCCCCCCCCCCCCCCCCAAGTTGAATTTAAATGACGCTGCAAGTGTGTGAATATCGGCGCTTGGGAGGCGAGGGTGGCTGCGCAGCGTTGGTCGCACTGGGCGCTCAACGCGTGAGGCTCGTGCCGGGCCCTAATGGGTGTCCCGCGTGCGAGATAAGTGCCAGCCTGTGAGACAAGAGGCTCAGGCACACTGAGAAAGTAGGGGGCATCGTACTCGCAGTTGTTTTACTGGGTAGACTACAGATAGGATCCGCAAAGTGTGAACCCCCCCCCCCCCCCCCCCCCCACTGCGTCACAGATACGAGTTCTACTGCAATGATAATTCGATTAACTACTGCATCGCTACTGCCGCCTCGATTTTGAGACGACTGCGCACGTGCGCTGCTCAACATTTAAAGGTCCGGTGGTCGTCGCAAAATCAGCTGCTCCGTCACGTCAAGAATGCCATGATTTTGGTCACCTCTATTCCTATAACCTATTTTATTTTACCAGGTAAAGCCTACTGAGGCTTGTAGCTCTTTTTTCAGAAGCGAGCAGGCCACAAATGATGGCTCAACGAAGTGGATTTTCACGTGGAAATGTATCGCAGCCAAATATCCCAAATGCATGTTGATTCTAAATGTGGAGGGAAAAACCCGTAGGACCCGGAGAAAAATCCACGCAGCCACGGTCTCTCTCTCTCACGGGGAGAGAGAGAGACATGCAAATTCTAAATATACAGGCGTCAGGGTCGGGATCGAACCCACGACGTCCTGTATACCTGGCGAGGTAGTTAACATCTCGCCACTCTGGCACACGTTGGGGGCATGCAGACACCCACAGTGGCCCACACCCGCGCCAGTGAAGTCCAATCTGTACGCGTGAGCAATGAGCACAATCGAGCTAAGCGGGGAAACATTGAGCAGGAATATATCGATCGTGAGCAGAGAACTACAGTCAGCGTGGAAGACCATTTATAAATGAAATAACTTCACTCGCTCCAAGTGGAGAGGAGGGCAAATGAATTACTATTTTAAGAGTGCCGTTTTTTTTTTGTCTCGGTCAGCTCCTGGCAGGGCCCAGCGCAGCGCTGCTTATTGCAGAGAGCAGCAATCGTGTGCTGGGGTTTTTTTTCTTTCCCATCGCCAACATCCCCTTGAAGCAGCAGCGCGATCTCTCCCACGCTCGCGCGAACAAATCACCCGGAGGGCGCCACCAAGGCGGAGGGCAGAGGCACCGAGCGTGCACCCGCCCAAAGCCTGGGTTCGAATCCAGGATGTGCAACCACCAAACCGCGATTAAACCGGGTTCTCCAGTGCAGCGAGTTAATGACGATACTGGCCCAGTCGCCAGTGACTGCGCAAACAAATGACGGCATTAAATACGGGGCTTCAACTTATTTTGACTCAATCCCAGCTCCAACAACGGATTTTTTTTCTGTTTGTTCCTGTTGTTTCCAACGACACACGTAAAGCGAGCGCTCTTCGCGAGGCACGGCAAAGTTTTCGGCGAGCTGCCTTGGGGAGCGGTTCTTTTCACATCATCTTCCGTGGACCGCTCGCCAGCGCAGTGTGGATGCGCTGTCAGCTGAACGGAAATGCCACCGTCTCGTGGCACGACGACGACGACGACGAAAGTTAAAACTGAAGTTGTAATTAAAAAAAAACCCCAAAACACCACCAGGGCCACTCGGTCTTGGGTTTGCCATCTCCCACGGGATGCACGTGAAAGAGTGCGGTGCAACTGGCGGCGACTGCCAAACTGACTTCGGAGACTCAAAACACCGGCAGGATACCGAGCCACGTCTATTTGGCGCTGCAATGACGCCAATTATATTTGTTCGTACGTTGTTGATGCGTACAGTCCCTGTGTGATGTAAGAAGAAGCAGAAACAACGCCCTACGATGAACATTGTTCCCCCGCGACATTCCGAAAATAAACTGTTGAACAAAGTCGACAGAAGCGCACGTGCGTGTGTGTGTGCGCGTGCGCGTGTGTGTGTGTGCGTGTGTGTGCGTGCAGTGGTAGTGTCGCGGTTAGCACGTCACTCTACGAACCCGGCGACCCGGGTTCAATTCCTGCTCATGGCCAGCACCAGTAACCATTATATGTACTGGTCGCTGGCCTCCCCTAGGTCGACTCAGCCTCAAATGAGTACCTGCTGTGGTATGTACACATCGCCACTCGAGTGACAAAGGTTGCCGAGCATGGTGCTGGCCATCCACCTCCTCGTGTGCTGTGCC